CCATCAGCATGTGAGGTGCTTTCTGGGCACAGAGAGGGCTGGTTCTGCCAGCACACACACACACACACGCACAAAGTAACATGACAGAGCCTAAATATGGTGAAAATTTGCAGCCATCCAAATGCACATTCTGGCAGTGAAGAAAGACCCCTCCTCATCCTGTAATCCAGGGATGATCTCTTAACAGATGTGCATGCAGATCCCATTCCTGAGAGAGAATCTGTGTAAGGCTATTAGATATCGTTAATCTCCCCTCACAAGAAGGTATTTGTTGAAATTAAAAGGCACTAGGCATTGATAGTTTGTTTTTTTAAACACCGTAATTATCCTGTATGACTCACTGCCACACCGCACCATTCCTATCAGGAGGCGGATTAGATTTTTTTGCCTTTTGCATCATCTGAATTCAGAGAAAAAAGTCAGGGGGACACCAAGAGGGATCAAATCCATGCTGACAGCTCCCATAACATTGTGGTCAGTCCCCGCAGCCCTGCTTCAGGGCTTGCTTTAATGCATGGGAAGTTCAGAAGGCATTTTCCAAGACAAGATACCTCTTCCCCCAAAAAACTCCTTTTTATTCCTTGTCCATCATGACGGCTTTGGGCACATCCACCCTGCAGCTGCTCAGAGCTGTGGTGTGGCAATAGCACTGCTCCACCACGCTCCTAGACCTGTGCCTACAGCTGAGTCTGGGGAGAAAACAGCCCTGAAGCCAAACCCAAGCAAACACGACATCTCCTCATTTCTATCATCTTTTCTCAGAGGCTTGGTTTAACAGAAATAAGTAAATTACCCCATAGCTGCATAAAGATTGTGTGAATGCAAGTGCCCTGCAGATGATTCTGATTAAGCTGCAATTTACTCCTTCAGGAAAAAGCACTTAATGCAAGATTTTAAGACCTGAGCAGCATGCAAACAGCAGCGGAATAGAAAGATGCAGCTAGCAATGACACCTTAAACTGCTCCTTGTCTTCTAGTGCCCTTCAGGGATACAGAGTGGAAAAAGGAGAGGCAGCAGTAAGTCTCACCATTTTCTGTCCCAGCAGAGAGGCCAGAACAGAAGTTTGCTTTGAAAGGTTCAAAAGAAACTGTAAATAAAGCAGATTTTGGTGAGGTAGGCAGAGGAACAGGACTCAGAGCAGGTATTTGAGGGAGAGAAAATGGAGAAAAGAGAAAAAATATCAGGAAAAATTATTCCTAATATCCAAGCTAAACCTCCCCTGGTGCAAACTGAGGCCATTTCCTTGTGTCCCATCACTAGTTACTTGAGAAAAGAGATGGACACCCTCCTCACTGTAACCTTCTTGCAGGTAGTTGTAGCTGAAGTATCGACCCCAGCCTCCTTCTCTTCAGACTAAACAAAGCCAGTTCCCTCAGCTATTCCTCAGAAGTCTTGTTTTCTGATCATTTATCAGCTTTGTTGCTCTTCTCTGCACACAGTCAAGAAACTCAATATCCTTCTGGTAGTGAGGGGCCCAAAACTGAACACAGTATTCAAAGTGTGGTCTCACCTCTGAGCGCTATAATGAGGAGCACCAGAACACAGTCTAATTTCTTCTCGTCTCACCCCTTGGGCTGTAATTTTGTAGGTCTTGCCTCAGCTCGATGTTCTCAGTGCTTTTAAGTCAAAATGGCTCAGAAGTTTTTAAACCTCATTGATCTTTAGGATGGAAGAGGTAGGCGGGAAGAAAGACTGCAAGCAGTTCAGGGTGCTTACATGAGCTCCCTGCTAAGTTGAGATTTTGTTTGCTGGTTGAGGTGGAGGGGAGGGACACAAGGGGGAAGGAGACTGATCTGAGGAGCATCTGCAGGTTGGCATTTGGGTTTGGCTCATGGGACCCCTCCTCGAGCTCAAAAGGAGCAACTTCATCCATCCTGTCTCTGACAGGACTTTGCTTCCTATGGAGAGTCTTGTCCTCCTCTTGTCATAATGTTATTTATAAAACCATTTGCAGGTCTGATTTCTATGAAAATCATTCCTGGTCAGATAACCTCACATTGCTCCCTGCTGTGAAGATTTGGGATGTAGCTCCTCAGTCCAGACTGTCAAAGCAGGGAACAGGGAAGGTAAAGGGAGAGCAGAATGGAATGGACATCAGCAGGATCTGAATCTCCTGTGAATCCTATAACGTGAGCTGTGGTAGTTTCCCTCCATTTCTCCAAGGAGTCTGCACTGTTTTTGCAAACTGCTGTGCAAACATTATCCTGAAGCTGCCTGACTTCCACTTTGGTAGTTGTTGCAAGAACAAGTGTTGTTACTTAGCAGCCAAGGCTGAATAGGCAGATCTGGCTTAGATGGTGTGGGTACAAGCTTAAGTTTCATCAGAAGTTTGCATCTTGTGCCTCCTAGGAAAGCTCTGTTGGTTCTACATCCAGAGGGCAAAGGTATTTCCATGGCCACATAGGAAAATGGAGGAGAATGGAGGTAGGAAGGGACCCCAGGAGGTCTCTGCTCCAAGCAGGCTCCGCCATGCAGTCAAACCAGGCTGCGCAGGGCTTTTGATAGGGTAGAGAGTTTGAGAGGGTTTGCACTAAACACAGCATTAAAGAAGTTGTAAAGTTAAAATAAATAAATAAATAAATAAATAAATAAATAAATCTCTGCAAATATCACAATCAAGGCTGCTGATGTGATTTTAACTCAGCCCGGCCTCTGCGTGTGGTACAATCTAACCTAAATTAAATGATCACATGGATTATTATCTTGCTCCACTAGATTGCTGCTGTAGAGCAAACACAAGAAAGTCATTAAGTCCCTGCCTCAAATTGCTCCCAGGCGTAGGGAAACAAGGGGCACGAACAGAGCCACCCCGCGATGGAGGTACACCCCTGAGAAAGAGTTTAAACAGAGCAGCAACAAGTTCAATGGGATTTTTATTATTATTATATTTTTTAAATCAAGACAGAGTAATATTAGGAAAAGAGATAGGCAGGAACAGAGGAGGGTAAAGGCAGACACAGTGGGCATCTCAGTGGGGAGGGCATGGATTAAGGGGTAAGGATGTTCCCAGGAGAGGGGGCGCCAGGGCTCCACCGACACAGGAGGAAAGGAGCTGGGGAAGACGTCAGAGCTGAGTCTCTGCCAGGTGGAGATCTGGAGGAGAACAGCAATGTGCTGGTGGGTAAAGCACTGTGTTTCTCCTGGTGATAAACAGGAAACCTCCCTGCCTCAGAGGAGGGCAACAGGTGCGAGGAGATATCTCTGTATTGATTCTTGGTTATCCATTACATGGGATAGACAACACAAATACAGCAAATTGTGGACCGGTGTCCTGCAGCCGATGCACACACTTTGCTGGCCTCCGGCCTTCAGGAATGGCATACAAACCGTGCTTTGGGGTGTTAAAATTATGCTGCGCCGCCTCCAGCACCCTGCAGCTGTCGGACCCGCTGCCAGGAGCTGCGTTCTCCGGCCATTTCGCACCCAGCCTGCAACTCCCACAGCCCTCGCTGCACAGAACGAGCACCGCCGTGCGCTTTCCCTCCCGTTCGAAGCACAGTTGTGTGGGCGTGTGGGACTCCTTCCAAGCTCACAGCTAAAATGCCTCTGCAGGGGGGGGCTGGAGGGCTTCCCCTCTTTCCTTAACTGCAAATGCATCTCCCTGGAAGTGGGCAGTATAGGGCAGAAAGCAGCTGAAGTTAGTCAGACACATACAAGCTCATGGGTAACACTCCAGGGGCTCCCCAGGGAGCCCTTCATGGGTCTTTTGCTCTATAGCTTGACAGCCAAACCCTCCACCAAGGATATCTGTGAATGTGGCACCTGTAGAGACCAGGTGGGGGCTCACTGGGGTCACCCAGCACCATCCCCTGACCTGTCCTGGGAAAGGCTAGGCACAAGCATACAGGCATCGAGCTCAGTATGGGCATTTCACCCTCCACATCCCCTGGCTGGAGCCAGCCTTCTCACATCACCCATATCTGATGTGGACAAGCACTCTCCCCAGTCTCATTTATGACCAAACCTGGACAGGTTGGATCAATGGGCAGAGGCCAATGGGATGAGGTTCAACATGGCCAAGTGTCAGATCCTGCACTTTGCCCAAAACAACCCCATGCAATGCTACAGGCTTGGGGCAGGGCGGCTGGGAAGCTGTGCAGATGAAAAGGATCCAGGGGTGTTTGTTGGTCAATGCTTGCCTGAACAGGAGCCAGCAGTGTGCCCATGTGGCCAAGAAGGCCAACAGCATCCTGGCTTGTATCAGGAACAGTGTGGCCAGCAGGACCAGGGAGGTGATCGTCCCCTTGTACTCTGCTCTGGTGAGGCCATACCTCCAGTGCTGTGTTCAGCTTTGGGCCCCTCACTGCAAGAAGGACATCAAGGCCCTGGAACGTGTCCAGAGAAGGGCTACGAAGCTGATGAGGGGCCTGGAGCACAAGTCCTGTGAGGAGCGTCTGAAAGAACTGGGGCTGTTTGGTCTGGAGAAGAGAAGGCTCAGGGGACACCTCATTGCTCTCTGCAACTACCTGAAAGGAAGGTGTGGGGAGCTGGGAGTCGGTCTCTTCTTGCAGAAAAAAGATAAAGTCCTATAATGATAGGACTAGAGGGAATGACCTCAAGTTGTTGCCTTTTCGAACCTAAAGGTTGGAAATTAGGAGGAATGTCTTTTCAGAAAGAGCAGTCAGGCATTGGAACGGGTTGCCCAGGGTGGTGGTGGCATCACTGTCCCTGGGGGTGTTCAAGGAAAGGTTGGACGTGGTGCTTAGGGACATGGTTTAGTGGGTGCCACTGGTGATAGGGGGATGGTTGGACCAGATGATCCTGGAGGTCTCTTCCACCCCTAATGGTTCTACGATCCTATGATTTATGACTTCTGCAACTCCCCTTTTAAAAACCCTCTCTCCTTCGCTTTATATACATCTTTTTCTCCTTTTTTTTTTTCTTTAAAATCACCACATCTTGCCAAACCTCGCACCCCCCCCACCGCCCCTCTCCCCCTCCCCGGCCACCGCGGGTCCCCGCCCGCCCCCGGGGCCGGGCCGGGGCGGGGAGGGGGCGGCACCGAGACCGAGCCCCGCTCGGCGGCGGCGCCGGGGCCCGGCGGGCCAGGGGTAAGTGGCGGATCTCTGCCGGCCCCCTGCCCCGCAGACCCCCGACCCTGCTCCCCCCGGAGCCCCTCGATCCCCCCCATAGCAGGGGCAGGAGGATGGGGTCAGATCCCGGGGGCTGGGGAGGGCAGAAGGGGCGGCCGGGGGGGAAGGAGCCGGGGGGGACCCCGAGGAAATGATGGGGCACGGCTGGGGGGGGGCTTTGGCTTTGCTTGCAGGGCGGGCAGCTGCTTAGGGCAGGGGGTTTGGTGCGGGTTTTTTTGCTTGTTTGCACAAGGTGCGGGTTTCCCGGAGTTGTGTCGGTGTAGAGGGGCGCTGCGAAATGAGAGAGATGGGGGGTAGGGGCTGGGGGGCTTTGTGCAGCAGCGGTCCTGGGGTGGGCAGCAGCGCTGGCTGCACGGGGAGTGCTTCGGGGCCAGTGGGAGCCTTAACTTTTTGTCGGGGGCAGGTGGAAGAAAGAGAGAGGAGAGGCAAGCGCTGGCTCTTCCAAGCAAAACACATCTGTAAGAGGTTGCTTCACCCCTGTCCTAAGGGATCCGTGTTTGCGGGACGGCTTCCATCTCCTTCAACCCTTGCCCTCACCCGCCTCCGAGGCAGCAGGGGCAGTTTGGCATCAGGATGCATGTGTGCATGGGGCTGGAGCAATTCACACCTCCTGCACAGCCGCTCCGCCAGCAGCGTGCGCGTCGCATCACGGATGCTCCTCTTGAGCGGGTAAGGTGGAGCAAGGAGGAATATTTATAGCGCCTTCTTTGCAATGTTCTGTCCTTGCCTCTAGTACTTGTCAAGCCAAGGATGAGTTTAGTGATGGGCGCATTAGCCAAAAAAAAATAAATCAGATAAAAGGGATTAAATGTCAGAGGACAACCCTGGGATGGCAGCCTTCATGTACCTGGAAAAAAAATCAGTCTCCTTCTAAATCAAGATTGGGTAGGTTCTTGAGCACAATCACAAACCCATTGTTAGAAAAAGAAATGTAGAGTCCGCTGCATGCACCCTTCCATTATTTCATCCCAAATGACAAGTCGATTTGCTCTTCAGCACAGGAAGCGTATCTTCCAGCCAGGCATGGCAAACACGGAGCACAATGTGGATAAGATGGGGGCTGCGCTGACAGTCGAGCTTTGGCAAGCTAGGAGGGGTTGAAGCGGAGCGTTATTTGAACAGAAGGCCTGGGACAGGAGCACGTTGCAGGAAAAGAGTCATTCAGCCAGCGGTGCTCGCTGCAAGGCAGCCAGGGTTCAAGAGCCTGCTCGAGAAGCGCAGGTGCGGTCTCTCTGCCAGGCTGCTGAGCACTCGACTGCGTGAAGATATTAAAGAGATTTTTGATGAGGGAGGAGGGAGGGTACTCTCTTCCCAAAACCCTTGCTGCTGTCCTTACAGCTGCATTGGTTGGTGAGCTGCACCGTTCAGATGCACACAGCAGGTGAAACCTTGCATTCTTCTCTTGGCTTGGGTTCAGTGAAAAACAAAACAGGACAAGCAAGACTTGATATGAGCAGAATAAAGACCTCTAGATTTGGCTCGAAGTAGCGCCGTGAGTGAAATATGAAAGACATATGCCGTCTACAAAAGGCTGTCATTCTCCGGAGTTACTATAAGCATGGATTTTCAGTCGTCTCCTTCTCTTTGCAGCAGCATCCCCATGGCGCTCTTCACAGGAACCGGCGGCCATCTTAACGGCACTGACGCCATTCCCTGTGGGGCAGGTAACACGACAGAGCCGGGCCTGCCACGCTCACACGCCTACTACGCCCTCTGCTACTGCCTCCTGATTTTGGCCATCATCTTCGGGAACGTGCTGGTCTGCCTGGCCGTGCTGAGGGAGCGCGCCCTGCAAACCACCACAAACTACCTTGTGGTAAGCCTGGCGGTGGCGGACTTGCTGGTGGCTACTTTGGTGATGCCGTGGGTGGTGTACCTGGAGGTGAGTGCGTCGGAGGAAAGACCAGCAGAGCTGGACCGCGGTACGAGTGCATGCGGCGCTCAGGTTAGGCCAGCTCTGGTACAGATAAAGCCCCTTCATATTGCAGCCCCCCAGCCATCTCCAGAGCACTTGTAGGGTGTGTGGTAGCTCACAGCATCACGCAGGTGGCCGTGGTGGGCTGGACACAAGCTGGACAAATGCACCACAGTCCCCTGCTAGCAGACACGCTCAGCCTTGTTCTTCCAGCCTCTTTGAGCTCAAGCAGCATCTGGGCTGCAGCCAGTAGTGTAGGCTGTGGCCCCTGACGTGCTGACACTGCTTTCATCTGAGCATCCTTGGAGCTGACTCTTGTCAGCCAGGAGGGTTGCCAATGAGCACCATGATGTCTCGGGAATGGCAGGGGGATGAAGGGGGGTGGAAACGTCTTACAGCAACTCTTCTCGGAGTCCAGATCAATCCCTGCCTGCTGGCCAAAAAACGAGCGAAGGCAGTCAAGCCCTCATCTCCTGTGGAGTTTAAGAGCCTTAATGTCCATGTCATTAGGTCAGCTCCCAGCAACATTCCCCAAGTAGGCTGACAAAGAGATGAAGCCAAAGAGCGTGCTCCAAAATCCCTTTAAGTCAAGTGAGCATTCTCTCAATAACTTCAAAGGATTTGTCAAGCCCTCAGGGTTTTATTCTCCATTTCCCTGATCTTTGCACATTGGGCTGGTGTAAACTGATGTTGGCATGACGGTGCATGGTATGAGCAGCACCATCAGATAGAGGGCGGCAAGGATGGACTCCAAATCCCCCACACACTGCGGCAAAATCCTGAATTACCAAAGCCACTCCCAGGGCAAACATTTTTGCTACAGTAAATACAGGAATGCATGCTACAGCTGGCATTTTTATCTGTTCTCTTTAGCATTTTTACGCTTATTCAAGTAAATTGGTAGAGCTAGGAGAATTAAGAGTGAATGCCTATGAGCCAGAAGCTTTCAGCTGCGCCCTGTTAGCCCTGTTCCCATGCTAACAGAGACAGAACAAACCTCTGAGCCGTGACCTCTCTGAAGCCTCGTGCTCTTTCTCTAAGGGGCAAGGTGAGATCAGGCTGGAGGGTGAGTAAAGCATTCTGCTGACAGCTGCCCACCGTTGGCTGACCTCCTTCCCACAAAGCAGAGCAGCAGCAGAGAGGGATTTTGACTTGTGCCTGTGGACTGTGCAGTGCACGAATAGAAAGTAGGACGGTACAGGACAACTCCAGCAAATGCCAGACCTGCTATGTGCATGCAAGGAGATCTGATCAAGCAGCAGGAGAGTGGCAGTGGCCAACGCTGCCACCAGAACATGTTCGGTAGCCAGCACGGCTCTAAGCTTTGGCACAGATATTTCCCTTATGTTAATCCAAGCCACTGTCCCAAACTGTGTCCGATGCAGCCTCAGCAAGACTACAATTAAAAGAAATTAAGTGTCTGCTCTGTGTACAAGGGCATTGATGGGTAATTATTTATGTATAGCATCGCTGTGGAATGAAAGAACAAAGCGAGCACCATGATGCTGCTTGTGTGATCATGTTCCCGATGAAGTCAGTAGCGACATTTAGACTAATTTGTGTGGAAAGAACAATAAAAAACACAGAATAAGGGACAGGAGGGGAGGGGAAGCCATCCCAGCAAACCCGAATTAGACTCTCCATTTTTCTTATAACTAAAAGTATTACTAAAAGGCAAATTTTATTTCAGACTGCTCGCACAGGAATATTCCATCACCTCAAGCATAATTCCAGTCTCTAATGAAATCACAATGTGCTTTTCGTTAGGAAAAGATTTACTGCTCGCTATCACTGTGGAAAGGGTGGCACTGGGGCACATCTGTGGAGCAGCCTCTGCCCCCCAGCAGTATTGTGGGCACTGTTTGCAATCACAACGGCAGGTCCGTTCCCTCGTTGTGTTTGCAGGCCTGTTCAAGATTCATTTTCCACTCTGAAGCTTGGAGAGTCAAAGTAACTGATCCAAGAGACTGCAGAAGTTACCCAAACAACAGGGAGAAGGACCTACACACATCTCAAATCCAATCTACCATGCCCAGCATTACACAGTACCCTCTAGATAACTAGGCTTTAAGACTCTAGAAACACTAGGATTAAAAAAAAAATAAAATAAAAATAAAAAAGTAAAAAAAAAACCTCCAAAGTTGTTTAGATATTTGTCACTGTTTATGGAATCGACAGCGCTACAGACGAAGCAGAAATTGCATCATGCTTCAGTACACTCTGGGCCTGGAAATTGCCAAGAGATCATTCAGTCCCTGAAACCGCATACAATACCTGTACATCTGCTGAGCATTTGCCAAACCAAACATCTGAAACCTGGCCATTATTTATGGGGAAGCTAAAGGTGGATGAATCCCTCAGATTTAACTGTCACCTGTGAACTTTATGTGCTTTACGCTCGATTTTAAGAGCCATCTGTGGTCTGGACCTTCTCCATGAAATTTGCCTTTTTATCCATCGGGCAGCCTAGATCTGTCTCGTTCTGAGAAGTCTTTTGGGAAGGCTGTGACAGAGCAACAATAGGAGCATTTTATAACCTCAAAATCCTCATCTCCAGCTAATGAAGTTTCTGGCACAAAATTGCTATTCTGCACAGTGCCTAGCAATCGTCTGGGGTCAACAGGTAGGACTTACATAGCAGTGCTGCTACCCTAATTCTTCACTGACCTCTGGGGCTTTGGCATCTGATGGCATTGATGCCATCATGCCTTATAGTCAGCATGTAAATGAAGGAGAAAATACAGCAGCGTGGCCTGTAACATCTTTCTTGGGCTTCTCATAACATCCAGTCCTAACTCTGAAAAGGAAAAAAAGGCTTCAAAAGGTGATTGTCACTGATGTCCAGTGTCTGTGGCTCTCACAACGGAGCGGTGAGACCTACAGCTGCTCTTGGCATTCAAGGAGCTCGCCAGACTACCATCAAAAGGAGGACAAAAAGATGAGTTACTGCAGCTCAGCAGTTTCCCACTCGTCAGCTGACCTGTCTGCTTGCATGCTTTTAGTTGCTCTGGCCGTGCAAAAGCATAAGCAGCGATTTCATAGCTGCAGGGAGCTAATCGTAGCCCCAAGAACTTTCTCTTAAAACTTAAGTGAGCATGTTTAAATGCACAGCTACTTATGTACCTGCTCATACTTTAGTCACTGCTATCCATGCCTCATTACATAAATGTGATTTACAGAGATTAATTTGTTTATTTTTAAGGATTCAGGAGAATTATAGATTTGTGTAAGTTATGAATGCACGATGATGGCTTTTCGATTGGAAGCCTTCCTAAAGTGTTGGAAAGTTAAAAATAGCAATACTGTAGCTTTGTGGATAATGCAGACTGGTCATCAAGCAAGACAGGGTGAGAACCTGACCTGAATGGTCTATAGGGAGCTTTAGCATCAGCTTTGACAGAACCAGGATTTCATCCTGGACTCTGTTCTCAGTTCTGCTGCACACGCACTGAGTGGTAATGAGAGATTGTATCAGCTCATCTCTCTGTGGTTTGCTCTCATCATCGTAAGAGGAGAATAATATTTGACCATCCACCTCACCCAGGCAGTTGTGAGGAGACATTCAATTAATACCTGTGATGTGCTTTGAGATTCCTGGATAAAAGGCACCAGAGGGATAAAGAATAGATACCCTGCCAGCACATGGAAACCAGAAATGCACACTGGCAAGCTACAGCTTCTGTAACAAAGATGAGCGGAACAGAGCAAGAAAATAAAGAGCAGAAATAGAATTAAAAAATTATGAACAAGGCCTGTAATAAAAGGGCTCTCTTCGTTGTTAAATTCTGGAATAATTCTGTATTATCATGCATGTAAACATTAACTACTTCACTGACTTCCACAGGGCTGCGCCTCCTTTTAGAAGCTCTGACTGATGAAGCGAGGATGGGTTTTAAGCCCAGCATTTTGATCTGCCAAGCATCCCCGCAATGCAAGCTGCAGCTTAGCATACAGGTGGCGTGATCGGAATGCATCATCCTGAGAGGGTTCACATCAGGGCCATTTCCACCAGCACCTTCTTCAGTTTTAATGGTTTACATTCCCAGAGCTTCTCCTTGGGCTTCACATTCAAACACGCTCAGGACCTTGGGAACTCCCTCCCTTAAGTGCTTGCACATCTGCTGGGTTAGCAGCTGGCTTCCTTGCAAACACCTGGCAGCAGTTCCTGGTGACATATTCTTCAGACTCCACAGATCACACTTACACACTGCATTTTGTTATACCCCAGACTACAGGAAAAAAACCCTTACTGGATCCCACTGCAAAGGCTTCTAGCGCTTATAATTTTGGGGTATTCTGAGGTGGGTAAGCAGGTCTCAAAATCTGCAGCTAAAACACAAATGGTGTGGGATTTCTTTAAAAACCGAATCTGTTCAAGTCCCTAATTTCAGAAGGGCAGCCTTCAGTTTGTACATCTTGTAGACCACCTAATTGTGCAGAAAATCTTTAAGATTTTTTGTTGTTGTTTTGTTTTGTTTTTCTCTCTCTTGACTTTTTTTTTTTTTTTTTTTTTAAAGACAACAAAGGAGCCCCAAAAACTCCAGATGAAAGCACAATTCCTTTCTGCATTTTGCAGGCCTATTTCTACTTTTCTCCCATGCATCCATTCAGTGTTAGGTGATCTAATGGGCAACTGCTTGTTTCGGTACCTGGCTTCGGACACACAGCAGCTGGGTCCAGCAGAGAACATCCTGGAGACACACAGCTCACCTCAGGAAATTTTGGTGCCCACGTGTAGGAAAGCTGGCACAGAAACAATCAAAAGCGTATAAATTTCTCAGGATGATTTGTTAAACAAGCCTGAGAAGAATCCATACAGAGCTAATTCTGTGTTTATGCAAGCACATCAGTGCTGCTTCTCTCTGCAGCGAGCTGCGTCCTTCCTGGGCACTGACACTTGCTATAGAGTTGGCCCACTGCCATAGGAGCAGAGCTTGCTTGTGGCACCATATCCAGCCTGTCCTGGTATGGGTATTTTCAAATATGCTCTTGGAGAGCAGGCTCCCTCCTTGTTCATCTCCTACAAGGAGCAGGAGCTGAGACCGACCACCTTGCCTGGGGTCAGGCCATCATCCCAGCCTCGAGCAGAGCCGGCCCCTTCACAGCAGTGCCACACGGTGCTTGGAGCATACCGCTGTCAGCTGGAAAGGGCATTGTCAGGAACTCGATGGCTGGGCCTAACATGCATTCCTCCATCACAAAGACTGGCCACAGCTAGGTTTTCGTGATTGCGCACTTGAGATTAAAAATTCAAAACAACCAGAACAAAAGCTAGACATGCTAGCAACCCAAAACCCTTTATCTGAGTAGCTTGTGAGTTCTCATTCAGATCTGATCATCAAAATCTGTAACCGAGGTAAGAATCCAAATGAAGTTCTGGAGAAGCCTCCGGTCTCAGGTCACTGTTTCATGCATAAATGCATAAAATTTGCAGCACTTTTCCAGCTCGCTGGCTGCAAGAGAACTCCAGCAGCTAAGCCGAGAAGCACTTTTAGCCTTCAGATTTTGTCAGATAATCCTTAATCAAAGGATGTATACAGTGATATCATGTTTAATTCCATTTATCATGCTAGACCTTAAGGAAATGGATAGCTGCTGTCTATTTCTTCATCCTGCCTCCCTCTGTAAGAGTCAGAAAAAGAGTGAAATTGAGGTGCAGATCCTGGGTTCCCCGTGACCCACCCCTGTGTTATCCTGATGCCTCACTTTCCCTCTGCGCATCACAGTGAGTATGAATTCATCTGGCTGTCGAGGTACATGAAGGAAAGCTCCTCCTTATACATAATCTATTAGGACTCCGTGCAGAGCGAGGCTGACAGCTTTGATTGCTGCTGCAGGTGACCGGGGGCGTCTGGACTTTCAGCCGCATCTGTTGCGATATCTTCGTCACCATGGATGTCATGATGTGCACGGCCAGCATTTTGAACCTCTGCGCTATCAGCATTGACAGGTGAGTGCCAAGCACATACAGGGGATAGTCTGAGGGTGGGGTAGGTCCTGTACCCGACCACGGAAGAGACAAGGACGTGTTGCTGGCACAGGCTTTCCTGCACGTCTGTCACTGCCACTGCTGCCGTTAATATGGCTTTGCCCACCACGTGCTGGAAGGTATCTGTGCTTAAGAAAAGGATAGAGAGAGACAAGCAATGAAACATCACAAGTTGGTAGTCAACTACATCCTCATCTTTTTTGAAAGACACACTACCTTTGTAACTTCTGGTTCAAGGGTAAGTGCACAGGGCAGCTCTCTGTGGTTGCTCCAGAGACTGCTCCCTCCCAGCAGTGCACATACAGCCATAGGGGGTGGAGGGGAGGTTTCCTTGGGTTTCTAGGTCTAGCTGGTACCACGCACGGTGTAGTTTCGCAATGCTAATGGACCTGCAAAGTGTTTCTCCCCAGTGCTGCCAACTAACTCTAATTTCCTCTGTTCCTCCCCGCAATACCCTGCTCACCATTTTTACAAACTGCTGATCCCATCATCCGATCTTCCCTCCTTTCCTCTCCCATCTCTTCACCACCTCTGCCATCGCATTCCCTGTGTGGCTTTCCTTCCTCCTTTTCAAACCTGGTCCTTCTCCTCATGCCATTCTTACGTCTCCTTTTTCTGGAGCTGTTTTGGTCCGCAGGTACACCGCAGTGGTGAAACCCGTGCAGTACCAGTACAACACCGGGCAGAGCTCCTGCAGGAGGGTCTCTCTCATGATTGTGATAGTCTGGATGCTGGCATTCGCAGTGTCGTGCCCTCTTCTCTTTGGCTTCAATACTACAGGTAAATGACATCCCAAACAATCTTGCATAGGGAGGGGCTGGAAGTTGAGCTGCCCTGTGTATGGCCAGGTCATTTAACGTGGGTCCTGCAGGCTTTTCAAGTTAGAGGAAATTTTAGGGAACTGGAAAACACCCTGTGAAGGGTGACAAAAATCCCGAGCAGATGTGCTCTTGTCTAAACTTGCTATTTGCTCCAGCAGACAGGTGCAGGGGAGCCTTCCTCCCTCTGAGCCACAGGCAGAGGTCCTCTGCTCCCCGTCCATCCTCTGGGCAGTGCCTGAGGTGAGAAGGGGGCACGGGGAGGGAAGTGCTGCTCCCCCTCACTGCCTAGTCCAGACATGGTGCAGGTGGTGCACACCTCTGCATCTAGGCAGCTCAGAAGCTGCCAGAAGAATAGGAGAAAGGAAAAAGGATAAAGAATCCTCTGAGGATGGTTGGGGGTAGAAGTGAGAGAAGAGGGCAGAGCTGTTGGCCGGAACAAGCAGGTGTGTGTTGAGTCATGCTGGATGACCCAAGGCAGAGCCCATTTTAAGCACTGGTTAGGTGAGCGGGTAGGCCACAGTATAATATGCAACAACAGAGACTGGAGATACTTGCTCTCCTTAGACTGCCCTTGTCCCTCAGCCATCAGTCGACCTGCTTTGCCAACACACCAGGGCCTCCTTGTAATAAATTCAAGCAGCTCAGCCGCTCCTTTCTCTCTCTTTCTCCTCCCCAGGGGATCCCAGTGTCTGTTCCATATCCAACCCTATTTTCGTCATCTACTCCTCTTTGGTGTCCTTCTACCTCCCCTTCATGGTGACCCTGCTGCTCTATGTCCGGATTTACCTCGTGCTAAGACAAAGACAAAAGAAGCGAACCCTCACCCGGCAGGGCAGCCACAGCGCCAGCACCAAACCGTGCTGTGCACACGAAGTAAGATCCCCATGGACGCAGTAGGAGCTGTCAGAAAGAACAGAGCATGCATTATCTCTTCCCCTCAGAGGGTCAAAGTGTGGAGTGGAAGGGACATGACATCTTTTCATCATTCACTCACTCATACACCATGATACTTGAGATGCAGACGCTCTGGTTAAGCCCTTTCTCAGCCCTCTAGAAAGAAGGTATCCCATGTGTATCTCTGCCCTCTGGAACCAAGCATCTGGAAAAGAGCACAGCCTACATCAATGTTTCTCTCAGAGCTGTGCTTTCTCAGCCGTGCAGAAGTCTGGCTCATTTCATTTGTTGATTTTAATTTCTTCATTTATTGATTTCTACTATGAGGTTTCATTCTCAGGGGTTCACAGACTTTAATAACCCAGATTATTAATAAAAAATCTCTTCATCTGGCAGGCTTAAGAGTTCAAAATGCTCATGGTGCATGCAGCATTTGTTCCACTGACCTTTCTAGATGAAATATCTCAACCATGGGAACTGGCACAATAGGTTGAAAGGGATCACCTGGTCACTCATACCCACTTGTTTTGCCCACTTTCTCAGAGCAAAGCCGTATTAGAAAAGGGTGGGGATGCTGAGGGGAGCGGGGTGGACACCAAATGCAAGTGACAGGTTAATAGAGGGGGTGTTTTATCTCTTGTTCTCATGCTTCTCTTTGGTGGGATGGAGGCAGAGAGTTGTCAGGGCCTGCTCCAGCCCTCCGATAAGCCCAGGCCTGCCCCAGTCTCTGGATTTTGTGCCGTCTCCAGAGGATAGTCTTAGCGCCCAAGAAACGAGTGGGGCTAAGGATGACTTACAACTTTCCCCATCATCCTTTGACCCAGGCAATGGATCGGATGTTTCCCAGTTCCTCTGTGGCATCCTCTTTTGCAGGAACACATCGAGAGGCAATCTTTGTCCGACAGATGCCAGGGCACTTTTTCCCCTTGTCTCCCGCTCAAACGCTCAGGCCAGGAGCTGTCTCCCAAAAGGAAACTGCTGACAGTCTTCAGCCTCCAGCGGTACCGCAGCTTCTGCCAAGACGCATCCCTCAGCAAGACACCAGGGACTGCACAGCACAACAGGCTGGAAGAGAGGAGAAAGAGTAGGAGTGGACCAGGGCTGGAGGTGCGGAGGCTCAGCAATGGCAAAACCATCAGCTCTCTGAAGCTAGCACACCAGCAGCCCCGGCTGATCCAGCTTCGGGAGAGGAAGGCTACCCAGATGCTAGCTATCGTCCTGGGTGAGTGAGAGCAGCTCTGCCTAGTGCAGCGCAAGGGGTGCCTTTGCTTTCTCTTTTCCTTCAGGATTTTCACATTTTTGTTGTTATTTCATTGTTATTATTATTATGAAGCTGGAGTGATCCTGAGTTCCCAAATGCAGACATGCAGCAACTCTTAACTCCGGGTACAGAAGGGGAAACAGGCAAGGAGCAGCAGAGGAACCAGCTCATAGAGCTCGACAGGGAAGTCAAGAGACTGGAGCCCGAGCCACCTGCCACAATCAGCAGACAGACTGCTTCCCCTAATTAACTCAGTACTAGTAGGGAAATTATGCAACCCTCATCATAGCATATTAAAACAGCTACGGCAGTAGTGTTAAGCTCCTGAACTGTGGCCACTGTCACCAGGCTGCATCTAAAGCCCCATTCATTAATATAATTGACCCTAAGGAGCCTGAGCTATTGCAAAGTCCTTCTGCATCAGGAATAAACATGACATTTTATTAAGAGGGTGGGGGAAGAGGGCACAGGTGCAGGCCTTTTTCCGAGTCGTTGCTTCTCTCTGAAATCAGGGATTGTTTTCTCTCTCTCTCTCTGAACTCAGGGGCGTTCATAGTCTGCTGGCTGCCCTTCTTCTTGATTCACATCCTCAACGCCCACTGCCCGGCCTGCCGCGTGCCCCCGGGGCTGTACAGCGCCAGCACCTGGCTCGGCTACGTCAACAGCGCCCTCAACCCCATCATCTACACCACCTTCAACACCGATTTCCGCAGAGCTTTCCTCAAGATCCTCTGCTGCTGATGGCGGGGCTGGCACTGAGCCACTCTCAGCCCCCCTGCCTCCACCAGGCCGCGGGTCGCAGCTGAGGCCTGGGCTGGGGACGTGGCGTGGGCCCTTCCCTCCTCCTGCTTTATCACGGGGAGAGCAAGAGCCACCCCACCTGCATGGCTGGCTTTGAAGAACACGAGGCCTTCAAAGGGAGGGAGGGAAGGACGACACAGAGGTGAAATGGCGAGTCCTCCTGCTGCCACAGCCTCGGCCTGCTGCAGGCACCCAGCGCACGAGCAGCAGCCCTGAGGCGCGGGCAGAACACGGCCACCCTGATAAGGATCCTTATCCCTTGGATCAGGAGCCCAGGGCAAAAATGTGGCAAGGAAACTTAGGGAGGGAACACTGATGGAGAAACTGTAGCACCGCTGCTGTCTCCATCGATGGTTTTGCCTATAATGAATGCAAACGAAACATCCCCTTGTATTGCACTGTTCCCTGCAGATGGCGAGGTGGAGACCAGGGACAGTCTGGTTGTTTCTCCCATCTTTTCCCCTCGCTGTGCAGGATCCAGTGACTCACCGGAGGCTCCAGCTCTCGCTCCCAAGCTTAGGCTTCGCTGCGCTGTTAGCCACGCTTGTTCAACAGCTTTGGGTGTAACCGCGTGTTGTCCCTGCCTGTGTCTGTGCCACAGCTCCTCCATCCGGGCAGTGCTCCCTCTCCTTCCTAACACAAAGCCAAGACTTTGTCCTGGAGCACGTAGCAGAGCTCCAGCTGCTTCTTTTGTCTGCGGGGTCTGGGGGGGAGATGCTAGCGGACAGCATGTGTTTGTGCGGGGAGGTGCCCTCTGTGCTGTATTGTAACTGCAGTAACCCAATAAAACACGTGTCTAACTGGAAGCTTTGGTGCCTTTGTGGTGAACACGGCCCTGCCGTAAGCCTCTTCTCACCTGCAGCCTTCTTAACACCTTCCCTGCATGAAGTGATCATCCTCCCGGGCACCCACAAGAGGTCATTACTGCTGCTTGCGTTGCACTAATGAAGATCAAAGGAGGGGAGGGGTTTTCCCAGCCTCACACAGTGAAGCGCTAGTGAAACTGGGAGAGAAATCAATGTCAGCTGTAAACACCTCCAGCAGATGAATTCTGAAGAGACTGTCAATTGCCAGAAAGGTGGAAACAAGGAAGCAGATCTTTTAAAGGATGACTGTGTCCATTTCAAGCTCTGGCCTAGCATCCCTCAGTTGTCGTGTTCAGTCTGATGCTGAGTTTGAGCCTGTTCAGGAAGTGATCCCCAAGATGATTCGGGGTAATAAAACCATCTCTCTCCCTCTCCCTCAAGTACTGCTTGAGCTCCGTGCCCCAGTTTTCCTGGGGCAGTAGGACACACGTGGCCTTGTAGGAAAGGCCAAGGAGCAGAAGCAAGTGAAGGTGCAGTGAGTTGATGCCTCCATGCCTTCCCCAGTAACCCAGAGGGACAGCGGAGGAGCCCCAGCTCCAGTTATTTGCAGTAGAATAATCCACACTCCCTCAATGTGTAACTGAAATACCTTCTCTTAGCTTTCATTTTCTACATTTTCATCCTTGCTGATTCTCCCCCCAGTCCAAGAGCATCTGGAAGAGGAGAGGTGAGCAGAGATTTTGGTGCTCAGCACAGGAGCCTTCTTTGCTGAAGAACCATTTCACAGATTTCCATTTAGATACCGGTACTCACATTAGAAAAAACCTTTGGAGAACACAATAAAAAAAAATAATCCTTTCCCACTGAGGGGAAAAGGGAGCTCAGAGACCTGTCCCAGCAGACCTGCAGGCACAGCAAGGGATGCGTAGCCTGTGCTCACCCTCACTGTGCTCCTCCAGGCAGCAGGGATGGGATAGCAAAAATTCCCCTGTGCTGGACACCCTCTGTAATCAAGCTTGGCAGGCAGCATAAGCAGAAAGCATCTCCACAACAGCTGAGGAGAGTTAAGAGCATTTGTCAACCAAGGAGAGCTGGCAAAACCCACCAGGAACAGCAGCAGCCTCCCAGCAAGGCAAGAAGAGGCCATCCAAGTACTGCCTGTCTAGACGGAATTGCAGCAGAGGCACAGCACGCCTGGAAAACGGACTGAAAAACATCATTTACCTCCCACTCCAGCATTTCTCCAGCCAGACATTTCATCCCAGCTCCCAAAAGGCTCTGACCGAGCTGCGGGAGCCCGCATACCGCCAAGCCTTGTTCAGGTAGACTTGTGCAGGTCTCCTGCAGCACCACGCGTCACCTCCATCAAAGCCACCGTGCCCCGGTCTCCTCCACATACTGGGAACACCCCAGGGATGCCGCCGCCACCAGACACGTGCCTGGCTGCCCTGGTCCCATGCCTCTCACCAGGGAAGCCCTGAGGGATGTGGGAGACCTTCACGATGGCAGCAGCGCTGAGGCAGCCTTTAGTTTTGGGGTGTAAAGCATGTAAATAAAATGGATGGTAAATGTATTATTCAAAGTAAGAGGTTTTTCAGAACGTGCTGTGGTGTCTGGAGGTGTCTGTCAGAGACCCAAGCCCCACATGTGCTCCATGGCTCCTGGCTATGGTCTCAAGCACCTGCAGTCTGGGGGAACGACTGACGTGAATTTTCTAATGATAACAGTGAATTAACATGGTGGCCATTTCCTGGCATCTTAACCATCTGATCTGCTGCCTTAGGAGTGAAAAGAAGGCAATTCAGGGTGCGAGGGATGCATGATGACACTCCTTCAAAGCCAGCATCGGCTGCTAAGACACTGGACAGGAGGTAGAAGAGAGATCCCAGACCAAACATCCCTTTCAATGTCAAACGATCCAGCTCGGTTACCCTCCAGATAGTCAACCTCAACTCCAGAGAGAGGAGTCACCTTTCTTAATCCACTTTCCTGGCATCACTCATGCCTCCTTTCCTCAGTTTCACACCACCTCAGGTGCCAGAACTGAAGCCCCTCAGCTGACCCCAGCCATGCCTTTCTCCAGCAGGGATGCTTTTCCCCCCAGCCCAGGCAAGGAATTCTCCAGAGCCTTTTCCATGATGCTGGCCACCCATCAGCAAGCCTCTCGCTGCCAGACACTGCTCTCAGCTATTCCTGAATGCCTCTGGAAGCGTGAGGCAGGGAACAAGAAAGCCCCTAGAGCCAAAGAAGAAAACGAACATAATTAAAAATTAATTTCTGTATAATGATTTAAGCACCTCGGCGAGACAAGCACCAGCCTGCTCTGTGTTTGGTGACGTGGGGAAGACCTTTCTGGTTCCCTGCCCTAGGGACTGCTGTCAGTTCTCATGTTTTACCCCGCAGCTGGGAGCGACGCAGATCAAACAGCGCAGTACAGGCTGCTTTTCACAGGGCAGAGGCACGCTTGCTGCGGGACTGCGTGTGTCTTCACCACCCTTGTTCCTCCTCAAGAAATTCAGGAAAAAAAAAAAAGGCATGTAAAAAGGCACGTGCCGGCGTCTTCTGCAGCTCGGTGTTGGCAATGCTAGCTGCGGACATACTGCGCCGTTCCCACTCCTTTCTCTGCTGGCCCTGCCAAATCCTAATCATCTTGTTTGCCTCTGGTCCTTCCTCCCAGATGCTCCGTCTCCTGCTCCCTTCCTCAAAGACGCTGCATCTCTTCAAAGGCCTCGGCTGCCTGCCAGCCTCCTGTGTTCTCTCCCAACCCAGTTCATTCAACTTCGCCTGGCATCTGGCTTTCCTAAGAGCTGGTTTCCTCAGCTGCTTTTCAGCCCATAGTAGCATTACGTTTGACATTACCTTGCAGATGGTTCCATGCTGGACAGGGAAAGGTGGTGTAAAAAGCTCAGGACAGGTTTGTAGCCTCAGCTTGCTGCAGGATGCTAGCTCTGTCACTTCAATACCTCCTCCGACTACCTCAGTGAAAAGCAAACCGGCTGCTCTGCTGTGAGGGCGGGAGCAACAGGCACAAAGCTTTAATATAAAGAAACTTTCATGCCCCTTTCAAGGGCACTCAACTCAAATGTAAATAGCATCACATGTACAGCGCTGTAATGGGTCCACAAACTCTGTCCAGAGACCATGAAAAACTCCTTTCTGTTGTGAAAATGCTTGCTGGACCACTACGTCCCAGCATCACAAATAGGATCATTGTTCTTGGGCATTTTCTTGACCAATAATGGGCAAATCAACCCACTTTATAAGCATGGATGGGTGTGATGCACCTCATGCTATGGGACCATGGCTGACCAGATAACCCCTTTGCATCCGAATTTGCTCCACAAAGAGCTCTGCGAGATGCTCCGGCACTTAGACAGCTGCTGAAGAGAGCAGGCTCCCTCCTAAGTCTGTGAAATGACGGGGAGCGAGCAAGGCCGGGAGCTAGAGAAGGCACGTTGGATGCCTAACAGGGCATCACACCGTGCCGCACCTTCCCCTCCCCAGTTTAATTAAACCAAACCGAGGGCAGATGTAGAAACAGCCAGGCAGTTCATCATCACCTCGCTGCGAGGCAGGGAAAGTATTGCCTTTCCCAGCCAGCGTGCCGGAGGGGAGGGCAACGCACGCTCCGGCAGCCGGCGTTCACACTCACACCATCAACGGGAACATTTTGCTGCAGGAAGGTGTTAACCGCTCTTGTGCCAGCACCGGCTTGGCCATCTAGGTCCAGCTTCTCAAAGGGATTTAACTTTATTCTCGTTTGGAAAAGCCTGTCATGTCTAATGAACGTGCTGAAGGAAGGAAGGGTGGCAGGGTGTTTGAACAGCCAGGTTTGCTAGGTTAGTGGCTGGACTTCCCAACCTAAATGATTCTGTGACCCTAATAATCTGAAGCAGTGCATGTTGTGTTACCAGAAAAGGGATGGAGTCCCTAATGAATTATATAGATCACACCAGAGTGCTTGTAAGCCCACTGGACTTGCCCACACCATCATCTATTTAATGTATGCCTTCCCTATCAGAGAGGAAGACTCTGAAATTACTGAGAGAAATGTTAAGCATTTTAGTAGGGCTATTTTTTTTAAACAGCCCTTTGCCTGTCAACTCAGGCTATGAATCAAAAAAAAAAAAAAAAAAAATAGCAGCTACCCGATGCTTAAAAGTACCTCTGCAACATACCTGGAACCAACTTTTCTATGCATGAAAGCACCACAATCTGAAAGCCACCTGGGCCTAAGAGGCTTAGAAATAAATTGAACGCCCTGCTGGAACACTTCCAGCCTTCAACAGCTCCTCCAGCTCCGTGGAGCCGCGGAAAAGCAGACCTAGACACTGTCAGACAAGGCTTGATACAACCTGTCGGGGCCCCTGTGTCACTGCAATTTACAGGATGGATGGATGGAGGGGGTGAATGTACGGGGGAAGAAATGCCGCACCTGAAGGAACGGAGAAAGCCGTTTTTTTGGATAGAGCAGTTTGATTTATTTTTCCTCAATCCATTTTAAAACATACCTTTGAAACTGCTAGAGGGTCTGCAATATTAAAATAGCTCTGAAAGAAGCAAGTCACTGAGCAGAATACCGATGAAGTGGTCAGAAAGGCACAGCAACACATGGCCCTGCCAATTATTCTCATCAGAAACACAGGAGCATGAAAGATTTTTCTTTATCTAGGGGAAGGCTACAGGAGAAGTTGATAAGGGAAAGATGTTCTGCTGTCTAATGTTTCTGTAACACTCTCTTGTATTCAGCTCTGTGCTTTTGTATTCGCCCCTACTCCTTTGTGTTCTGCCATTTGGGGCTAGAAGGCAGACAATGATGTTTTTGTAGAGTTTTCTGCACTACATAAGAGGTAATTTCGCACAGAATTTTTTCCACTCCATACTTGTTTCAATTTTTGCTTCTTTGTGAAAGGTGGGCAAGAAAACTACATGGTAGGGCAAGAAAGAAAATAGTTTCTGCTTGGAAATAGAACCAAAAACTTTCTAAATTCACATCTTCA